TCTCATTGTTGCTCATCTACTAATACAAGAGCCCTTCTCGCGCTATTGCGTGTCTGATACACAGAACATCTCCAAGATCAGCCACACAGCGAATCTGTTGTGCGTGAGCTGCCGATAAAGATTCCAAGTATAATAATCTAGCAACTACCGGAGAAAACGAAAGTCAAATAGGCGAGGGTTGCCTTTGAAAGCAGCATATGCTCCCACGTGGACGCATGCCCAGCCGGAGCGGTCTTGCAGCGAATACAAAAGGCGCGACAGGTAAGGCTTCATACAGCGCTTCCGGCACCTGTTCCGAAAAGCTGCTGTGTATCGTGGAGTTGTGACACTACATATTGTAATAAATTTTTTATGTAAAAAAAATATACGAGTATTCCAAAATAAAAACGAATTTCTTTACTTCTGCAAACGCTAGATCATGCTTTTTGAACTTTTCTGTCTCAGTTTTTGGCGCTACATCGAAAAATCTCCTCTTCATTAACATTCTGAAAAAAACTTGAGGAAGAGAGTGATACTTTACTGCAAAGTACTATATGTATATTCCCTGACATTCTGCGTAAACATTTTTTGATGACTATTTTTTGGACTACTACCATACTACGGAATTTCTCTTCACAGTAACAATACTTCTTCTTCTTGCTCTTCTTCTTTCTTAACCCAATGAACTTTTCTTCTTCATCTTCTTCTTTCTTCTTCCTTCTTTCTCTTCCATTATTTTCTCCATCTCCTTCTTTCTTCTTCTTTCTCCTTCTCATTCTTCCTTCAGCATTCTTCCTCATTCTTCCTTCCTCCTTCTTTTCCTTCGTTTTTCTTTTTCTTCTTCTTTCTTCTTCTTTCTTCTTCTTTCCTTTTCTTCTTCCTTCTTCTTCTTTCTTCTCCTTCCTTTTCGTTTTCCTTTCTTCTCCTTCTCTCTTTCTTCTTCTTTCTAAACTAAGTGGTACGTTAGTCTAATCAGTAAGCAAGTACACATCTCTTCTTTTCGTTATTTCAACCATCAATGGAATAACAAACAACTTAATAATGTTACCATCATATAACCATGCTGAACATCGCTTCCTTTTTTCTCATCGTTCTCATTTATTATTCTGCATAATCCTTGTTTGTGAGAACATTGGAATTCCGTCATATGCGTAAATCCCCTGATCAAGTTCTTTGTTTCTTGTATGTTTTGACATTACTACAATTTTCACAAATGCCATGCTTTTTCACTTGGATAATACAGTTATTGCACAAACAACATGTAGCTTCCGCTATTAATACGATAAAGCAATTTTTAATCTGGAAATGTCATGTTTTCT